GTAGCGTGTTTGTTTTTTTTTTTTTGACCGGAGCGTGTTTGTTGGAATTAGAGACAATATATCAAGTTTGTTTGATGAAAAACGTGCACTTGTTATATGAACATTCATATGATATAGTCAAAATAATTCATGGAAGATCTATGAAAGATTACAATGGTCCCACCTGATCAATTTACTAGTGGGAGAGAGATTCCTTCCTAGCTATCTAAGTATGCATATTGCTTGCAATTCAGCCTAATTGCCTTATCTAAATGATACTACTATTATCCTTAATATAAAAGTTAAAGTTAGTTGAGGTGTTGGATTTATTCTAAATATATAAAATTTTAACAGTCTATCAAATTTATAATTTTTTCCAAATGTTTTTACCCATTATAAGGAGTTTCCATCAAGAGATAGTTTCAATGTACATTATTAAAGAAGATAATTTAAAAAAAATATATCAAGTTTGTTTGATGAAAAACGTGCACTTGTTATATGAACATTCATATGATATAGTCAAAATAATTCATGGAAGATCTATGAAAGATTACAATGGTCCCACCTGATCAATTTACTAGTGGGAGAGAGATTCCTTCCTAGCTATCTAAGTATGCATATTGCTTGCAATTCAGCCTAATTGCCTTATCTAAATGATACTACTATTATCCTTAATATAAAAGTTAAAGTTAGTTGAGGTGTTGGATTTATTCTAAATATATAAAATTTTAACAGTCTATCAAATTTATAATTTTTTCCAAATGTTTTTACCCATTATAAGGAGTTTCCATCAAGAGATAGTTTCAATGTACATTATTAAAGAAGATAATTTAAAAAAATAAATACATATTCATTACAAATAATTAATTTAATTAGTTTTTTTAATATACCTAAATTATTTATTTAACTCTTATCTTAAAAATTTGAAATAATATTAACTTTATTTCATTTCAATCAAATAGCATTCAATGCTACCATTGCATTGATTCACCCGCCATCATAAAAAGTATCTTTCCAGGTACGTTGAACACTCTAAAAGTACTGAGAAAAAAAATATTAGGAGAATCCCAATTAAATCTAGTTAAAATACTAAAATTAAAATTAAAATTTATATTTGTAACAAATTCTTAATCAAGTTAAGAGGTCTAGTTGGAGATTTTTTGAGTCCTAAAAAAATTAGAGATTTCTAAATATTATTAAAAGGCTAAAGTGCCCTTTATAATTAAAAAGCAATATTGTTTAAAAAAATAAACCATGAAAACTATTATATGATATTTATCTATAAAAACATTTTAGGCTAGAAAATTTAAAAATACCTTTTATGTCTTTATATCTATATTTAAGTGGTTCTTGACTTCTTGGACGTCTTTTTCCCATTAATTAAAATTTATTCTATGGGTTTCAAAGGTTGCTTTCAATTCATGTACTAACTGAAGCTCGACGTGCCCATTCATATTGGGAAAAAAATAAACAGGCTCAATAGCCAAGAAAAAAAAATTTACAAACTTACATCTCAATTATTACCTTATCCATAATTTTCTGTGCCCCAGTTTTAAGTTGATCAGAAATAAATATAAAAGGTTTGAAATTGCCTTTTCTTTATAGTTTTTTTGTGTCAATTTTGCGGATGCAATATGCGTAATAAAATAAACTTTGAAATCAACAACTTATCGAAACATAAAAGTTGAACTAATATTCATTAGATATGTGACCAAAAAAAAATATTCATTAGGTCATATTCACCAAAAAAAATATTCATTAGGTCAAGTGAAAAGAAATCGAAGTTGAAATTGAAGGGATATAGGAAAAGATTTAATAATATTGGTTGAATGGTAGTTGCTTAGTAGTGTTAAATATTAAGTTATTATCAACGAAAAAAACAAACAATTGGGAGAAAATGCCAGGTTTTTTTCTAAGAAAAAAACCCATCTATTTATAAACTTTTTTGTCAATAAATATTATACAATATCAGGTTTTCTTGATTTGATTTTTTTGTTTTTTAAACAATGCAATTTTTAATTATAAAGAACATTTCAGTCTTTTAACAATATTCAGAAATTCCTAATTACTTCTCTAGGTTTGATTAGAAATTTGCTAAAAGTGTAAGTTTTTAATTTAAATTTTAGTATTTTAACAGAATTTAATTAGAATTCTCTCAAAAATATTTTAGGTTGTTGGATGTACCTTCATTTAATGGATTTTTTGGGAGTTAATAGAAAAGGATGAAGCTTCTCATAAAAACCAAAAAAGCTTAGTAGCAAAATTGTTCCTAAAAAGAATGCAATACTTTAAGAATAAAATTATACCACAAAATTTTTTAGGATATTTAACCCATCTAAAAAAATATTTCAAAGTGTGGAGTGAACTGCAAAGTACTTAGGGGTGTGAAACACACTTTAAAAAAAATAATTCAGCATTTTGAATTAACCTTAACAATAATAAAACTCCTTCCATCCCTTTTTATCAGAAATAACTACCTTTTTTCCATTATTTCTATTTATAAGAAATATTTGTAAAATATCTTAAATATTTTTATTAGTTTTTTTATTTTACTCTTATTAATTACTTATTTTAATATTCAGTATATTTATTATCTTATTTTTTGAAACATCGGTTTTTTATTTTAATAATTTCTTTATTCTTTTTCTTATGCTTTCTCCCTTTTACAATTAAATAAGGATATGTTTTTCAAGAAAAACTCACAATTTTTATATATTTATTACTTTTAATTAATTTTAGCTAACATTTTTATTTACATAATTCAAATGTTTCTTATAACTATGGACACAAAGAGTAACATAATGTACATTTGGCTTTTTCTTTCATTTATTGCCTCGTCCTTAATTATTTATTTTTTTCCATTTATTATACTCTTTATTATTATCATTTTTCTTTATATATTCTCTTTTATTATTTTTTATTTATTATAAAGGTATATTTGAAAATAAAAATATATTTCTAACGTATTTATTGTTTTCAATTAATTTTATCTAATTATTTATTATTTCTCAGTTAATTATTTAAAACTTAGAATAAAAATTGGAGGGAATATATGAAAGACCAACTCGTATATTTATGCTCCCTCCAATATTTTTTATAATGGCTTTCTAGATTCAAATTACTCACAAAGCTTTATATACAAGTTATTTTCAGTATGTTAATTAGAATTAAAAAAATTTAAATCTTATTACCTCTACTTTAAAATTTAACAATTTTTAAAATTTATTCCTATTTAATATATATAATAAATTAAAATATTATATTTAGAATGAAAATTAATTTCTTAATTAGTTTTTACATTTAAAACCGAACAAAATATCATCTTTAACATGTTTGAGATCACAATTGGATAAGGCGTACACCCATCAACCCATCAACTTTTTTTAAAAGTGTGATTAACACCATATATTTTTTCAGGTACAAAAATACTCATAAATATTTAAAAGCAGAGTAAAAATGATATGGTCATTAATTGTGGTTACTTTGACTGTTAGGGAGTGAGATTTTGACTGAATATGCTTTCAACCCGTCTCCAGCCATTTCGGCTTAAGAAGCGTCTCTCTTTCGGTAAGAACAGTGCTCTCCGAGATGTGAAGTGGGAGAGAAGAGGTTTCAGTTATACGCATATGACAATAACAATATCCTATGTGACCATCCTCGCTCATGCTTGCTGCTATTTGAAGTGTTTGGGATGGCATCCCCAGGTAGTGAGTACTTGTCTCTGACCGCGATTAAGGGTGTGTTTGGATAGAAACCAAACCATGGTTTCAGAAGTGCTTTTACGGATTACGAAGTAAATATGTGGAGGAGATTATCTCGTTTTACGGAAAAGTGTTTATGAAACTACGGTTTTAGGATACCCAAACAGGCTCTAAGAGAGAGCGAATTCAATTTCTGGCTGCATCATCATCATCTAGATATGACTTTGAATTCCAAATTATTTATTAAAAAGAGAAAAACGAGGAAGGGAGGGACTTGAGTACTGTAGGTGACAGGGATGTGATAACAAATGTGTGTACCGTGTTGTTGCCTTTATGCCCAGAAACTTCGGCCCGGCTGCTTCATTTTTATTGGTTTTACGGTGACGTTTCAGAAACTGTCTGCAGTTTAAATAGGCACAGTGCATATTCCCCCAAAAAAGGTCAATAGGCTGGCACAGCTCATCAGCACACACCCTCTGCTGTTCCTTACAGCCGATAAGGATGGCCCCTTTGGTGGAGCGTTTTATAATTCGGTTTGTACATTTGAAAGTTGTTTGAAATACTTTTTTTATTTTTTTATCAGTTTGACTTATAAGTTAAAAATTACTTTTGTTAGCGGAAAAAAAAATACTTTTTTAAAGAATGATTATAAAATTTTGCTAAACAAAAGAACGATTATAAAATATTTAAAATTTACTGATAACTTATGTGGAAAATTTTTTTTTAGAATTAAAATATATTTTTATTCTTGTATTTATATTGTTCTTATGTTTTTATCTTATATTCTTTATGCTTCTTAATTAATTTTTATTATTTATTTTTAATATTCTCTTAAGTAGAAATAGTTTTTAACATAATTTTTATAATATTTTTAATTTTTAATATTATCTTTCATTTTATATTTACATAAATTATATAGAGTATATCATCCAATTAATTATTTAATATTATTTGGTTCAAATATTTTCACATTACCATGATTTGTAATTTAAATATATTTTATTTATTAAATATAACTTCTTCTTATTAGAATAATTCAAAATTATTATATTTTGTAAATTGACATTTTTAATTATTTTTTATTATTTAATAAAATTCATACTCATTTTAATCATTCAACAAACTAAACTTGTTTATCCAACCATAACTTAAACAATTTTTTTACTTTGCAAATTAATTTTTATAAAAATCAATTTAAATATATTACTCAATCTCATTTGCTTTAAAATTATATTAAAAATAACCCCCGGGGGAGGCCAATGGACCCTTAGCCTCTCCCACGCTAGTTATCACTGTCATATAAACCCAGTTCCGAGCTCCTCATCTTCACTGTTCGTCCTCCATCGACCTAATTGTTTTCTTAACCATGCCTGCAGAAAGTTCTAAGGCCCCTGATGATCTTCCTGATTACCTCCTAGAAGACGACCTTTCTCAGGAATGCAAAGAGCTCATTGCCACCTTACCAGCTGAACCGGGTTGGGTTGCGAACCGGCTCCATCAGTATCAAGGCTTTTGGCACACCACCAGGCATATGCAAGGAGTTCTCAATTGTCAGAACCATTTTCAAGCTCATGATTCTGATATACTCCTTATTACCTCACCCAAATCTGGCACTACATGGCTCAAAGCCCTCACTTTCGCACTCCTCAACCGGAAAACCTATTACCCGAACCCGAGTCCAGAACCGACACAAACTGATCAGTCTCATCCTCTTCTTACTACTAACCCTCATGTTCTCGTACCCTTCTTGGAGCTCAGCCTGTACCTTCACAAAACCAAGCCTGATCTGAGCTCGTTCTCGTCACCTAGGCTTTTGTCAAGCCACCTCCCTTATGTTTCCTTACCGGATTCTGTGAAGTGGTCAGGGTGTAAGATAGTGTACCTGTGTAGAAACCCAAAGGATATATTCGTCTCACTCTGGCACTTCACAAACAACTTAAGGCTAGAAGCCAAAGGCTCTAATTCAATTGAGGATTCATTTGACAGGTTTTGCAGAGGAGTGAGCCTTTATGGGCCGTTTTGGGATCACATGTTGGAGTACCATAAGGCAAGTTTGGAGAGGCCGGATAAGATAATGTTCTTGAGATTTGAGGAACTAAAGGCAGAGCCAGTTAGGGTGTTGAAGGACGTAGCTGAGTTTATTGGGTGTGGTTTTTCCAGAGAGGAAGAGAATGGTAATGTTGTGAGTGATATTCTAAGATTATGTAATTTTGAGAATTTAAGCAATTTAGAAGTGAATAAGAATGGGAAGTTGTTTTCTGGAGAAGAGAACAAGACTTTTTTCAGGCGTGGGGAAGTTGGAGATTGGAAAAATTATCTTTCATCTGAAATGATTCAACAACTTGATATTATTACTCAGGAGAAGCTGCAGAAACATGGCTTGAAGTTTTAGATTCCACATGCTGAAGAAGACAACTAAATTAAGTTCAGGTTATAGCTTCCAATTATTTGTTGTTAATTACATTTAGCCAAAATCCAATTAAAATTTCATCCTTGTACGTTGTTCAATTATCATCATTATGTTCTTTTATAAATAATGCATGTTTTTCTGCTGTTGGGTCTTTCTGAATTATGAAGAAATCTTAGGAAGTGTTGTGGGATTTGTGAAGGGCAAGAATGTTCTTGTGAAGCTTTTATGCCTATGATTTGTGAAGTTATATATGACAATCCGTATCATTTCATAACTGGGATTGAGCAGAAGGGATCTGTCAAATTCTTTTGTTGCTTTGAGTTTCTTTGCACTTTAATTTAATTTGATTGTGACTCCTCATCACGATGAGATAGTGATTAATTTTCCTCCAAGTTGCATTAAGCTTCAAAAAGACTATGATCAATAACAAACAAAGATCAGTAAAGTTAAACGTGGTCCTCTATGATGGAATGGAGGGAAACAGGCTGGCCCCTGTGAGAGATAGCTTAATTGGGGTCAGATACGACTTGGCATGTTTAGCAAATAAATCAGGCTTGTTAAAAAACTTTTTATTTTTAAAATAAAAAGGTTGAACTTTTAAATTTAAAATCTGGCCTGACCTGATTAATTTTTTAAAATTTATTTTGTTAACGTATATTAAAATATGTAGTCTTTTAAGTGTACTGAAAAGTTACATTTGTGTAGGATCAAAACCTATTCATGACTTTCAATACTTAAAAGATTAGGTCTTTTTAAAGGCCTACATTATAAGTATGTTTTTAAAAAAGCTTCAGGCTTGGCAGATATTTGGGCGTAAAAAAAACTATATGCAACTTCATACTCAGGTTCAGATTTTAAACTCCCGTTACAAGGTCTGTCCTAATTATTTGGCCAAAATCTGGCCGGCCTAACCAATTTTCATTCCTAATTATTAAAGTGACATTTTAAGTAATTATTTCATTAGTAAATTATTGGGTAGGTTTCGTAGGGGTGAGGAGAAAAGCAATTAGTTTAAACTTGGCTTTATGTATAGCGGCCTTTGTTTGTTGTCAGGTTGTACTGGTTCCATTGTGCTTCTTCATCGTTGATTTCCACTACTTATAATAAATGCGAAGCGGGATTGGTTGGTAATTTTCTTTTTTAATAAAAACTGGATACTGTTACCACACTCTACAAAGTACAAGAAACATCAACGCTCGGTTTCCCTCGTCATGAAAGTGGTTAAATACTGGTAATTTAACAGTAATATTTAGACTCGTTAAAGAGGAAAGAGAATATAGTTAGGAGTAAAATTAAAAAAAACTCATTAAATATTTAGACAAAAATAAATATTATTTTATTAAAAAAAATTAAATCCCTCAAACAAAGCTTATCGTATACTACCTCCGGTCCTAATTATAAGAGTCAGTTGACTAATTTGAGGAGATTAAAGAAGTAAGTTGAGTTAGTTATTTGTCCTAAATAGATATTGTCTTTCCTAAAATATCCTTGTTAATCAAGTATATTGACTAAAACTATCATTGTTAGAAGGGTTACTTTAGAAAAAAATATATAAATATGAGAGATAAAGTGGATTTGGGTCTTACATTTAGAACTAAAATAAAAGTCAAACATGGTTTTATATTAAGGATTGGAGGTAGTACTTTCAATTGGAGGGAGTACATATTTTACTTCATTAATTTGGAAATTGTAGAGTTCCGTATGTATCATTTAATTTTTTTATATAAAAACTCTTAAAATTCAAGAAATTCTACACTTTTTGGTATCTTTTTTAATACAAAGCTTAAAAGAACTAGACACTTCAACTTATAATAATAATAATAATAATAATAATAATAATAATAATAAAAGGATAACGTAATATTCAATAGATTTTATTTTCTAAGTACATTCAATATTTTAATGTTATTTATAGCATATTTACCCTCTCGATTTATTTGTAACGTATTTAGCACCCTAAATTTAAAAAACAATGTCAGGACTCAGGACACTGAGAGAATCAGAAAGATAAGAGCAGATGAAAGTGAAGGTCTGAAGGAGAATGGGGGTGTGAAAAAAGAAAAAAAACCTTTATCCTTCCACTTTTTCTTCCTCTTGTCCTTCGTTTTTTCACCTGCCTCCGCCAATCTCAAGTCCCTCGCTCCCATGTGATTCTTCTGTTTCTTTATTAGCTTCTTTCTTTGCGCCTCCTCATTATGCGCACCTCACTTTCTTTAATGCTTCAGTCAAAGCATCGTGCTGCCGCCTTTATTGTAACCCTCGTATGCTTTGCTTTGCCACAAAAGCCACGGATGCTGTCAATTAAGTGTCTACCGACAGTGACAGGAATTTTTTATAAACACGTTTTATATAAATTAAGATAAATTTTTTTTTTCATATTTATGTTATATTTCGTAAATTATTATTAAAATATTACTTATAAGTTGTTCTAAATAAATTTTTTAAGTATTTTTGTCACGGGTTGTGACACGCAGCCTACCCAGCTCTATTTAGATTGGTCAGTCAAGTTAAAGAGGGCCTCAAACAAAATTTGTTTATAATAAGAAGATAAGTGCACCTAGTAAAAACAAAAAAGATCAATTTTTTTATTAACTTTATAAATAAGATTAGAAGAGTATGTTATAAGAGTGAAACTCATGGATATAGACTATAAAGGCATTTTCAGCCACAAATTTATATTTATGCCCACATTCATCGCAATTAAAAAATGTGGTGATATTTTTCTTTAAAAAAAAAATTTGGTAGCATTTATGCAACAAAATCTAATACTCCTCTAATTATAAGGTATACAGTTTGTAGCGAAATTGAATATGAAGCAAGAGTACTTGGTTAAAAAAAAAAAACTTACGAAAATAGCAAATTTTTTCTAGAGGTTTTGTTTCCTCATTTTCTTTGGAAAAATTAAGAAAATTTTTTTTCTATTAAAAATTGTATTGGCGAGAAGAACCTGAATCAAAATATTAGTACTCTGTATATATAAAATTTATAAAATACTAATACTTTCTGTGTATGAAAATTGATCAAATTCTTTTCACCGATAAAATTTTTTGATGGAGCATTTCCCCCCAATTTCCTTTCTTTTTTTTTTCCCTATACAAAAAAATGGTAAAAATCGGTTTTTTTTACATGTGTTTTTCACTAAACTAATAACGATTTTATATTGTTAGGTGAAGTGATTTTTAGTGGGTGGAGTGGAAATAAACAAATGTAGTTTTAAATATTTATAAGACTAGATTTCCTTAAAGGTAAAATTTATTCATTTATTATATAAGAAACATACGTAGATAAAAAAACTGAAAGAAAACTAACATTACATATGTTCCCTAAATAAATCTAACCCCTTGCTTGGATTGAGAGAAAATTAGAGAGAGAAAACTAGAGAGGAAAACATGAGGAGAAAATATGGGAGGAAAGAAAGTGAAGGAGAAAATAAGGTGGGTCCCATGCCTTATTTTCTCTCCATATATGGAGAGATTTGGGAAGGAAAACAAGATTTACATGATTGTCCATTCTCTCTCTTCCTCTCCATATTTATTTTTCTTTTATTATAGGGAAAATGGCATTAAGGTCCCACACAAGCATAAATACAGCAAAAGGGTCCCCTGAAATCTCATAATATTTCTGAAGTCCCAAAGGGACTTGTGTGCAATTTTCAGAATCATCAAATGACACTCTTGCCCTAACTATCAGAAACAAAGATAGGTGAGGAGTTTCTGATGCAATATAGTTGAGAGAGAAGAAGTTAGGAAAGAGAGAATGAGCCATTGATGATGAAGTATCTTCTCCATTACTATTAGTGAACTCCAAAAAGCTTTTATGTGAATCTCCACAAATCTTCAGGTGTGGAACTTTCTTTCCTTTCCTCTCCTACCTTTCTTGACAGATTGTGCATTTGTTTGGGAATGGGAAATCAGAAAATCGTTTTTGCCTTTGGTACTGTAAAGCTTTTGTTTTTGGTATAGGATTCACAAGTTAATCAATGGAGAAGCTGTGTTTTTGGTTAGTGTGTGTTGGTGATTTAAGTTGGGTGTGTAGGATGATCATGGGTGCTCTGTTTTTGGGTTGCTTGTGAGTGGTTTTGCTCTGTTCTGACGTTAGTTTAGTGGCAAGGGAAAAAGAAGATGAAGGTTAGTGTGGGTAGAAACCCTTAGCACGAAATGAGATATTGTATTGTCAATCAGGCCGCGATAGTTGTCAATGTGTGCCGCAACACTTGTCAATATAGCTCATTGACTTGTCAATGACAGTTGCGTGATTCTTGATGCAGATTTAAATTACTGATGGCTAGTACATCTGTAAAGCATCTATTTTGCTTTGTTCACATAGGGGGAAAGTTTATAAATGATGAAAAAGATGATATGAGATATGTGGAAGGTAGTGTGAGAACAACAAATGTAAAAGATGGTACAAATTATGAAGAATTAAATGAGATAATATCATTAATTGTTGGAAAAGAAAGCAACTCATTTCTTTTGAAATTCTCAGTTGTGTTTGATAAAAAAAAACTTTTGTGGAGTTGGTAGATGATGATAATGGGATAGAACATTTGATAAAGTTCAATGAAGAAAGTGGTCATGTGTATGTAGAAGAGAATGGAAATAAGGACCACATAGAAGCAACAAGGGATAATACACTGGAGGAACAAGATGTGTAAGTTTAGTTTAACAAAACTGTTATTATCATTTCTTGGTATGTCAGTTGTTACTGTCTTACTACCAACTTGTCAATGTATGCACCCTGACTTATCATTTCCTACAGGATTGATCAATCATTTGGAGGTGTCAATGAATTGTTTATGTCTTCACCTACCTTATCTAATGTGATTGGAGAGTCATCATCAATTCTTTGTGCTGTTGAAATGATCCCAACACCTACGCCACAAATAAATTCTACAAAGTGGAGGGATTTGATTATTGGAGAAGGACAAATATTTCCAAATGTCACTGCTCTCCGAAAAACATTATACAAGATATGCAAGAACCCAAATCCCAGCTGAGAACATATTGAAGTCAGCTATTTTTTGTACATAGATGTGAAGAGAATATTTTGTAAATGGGTGTGAAGGAATTTTTTTGTAAATAGATACACACCACTAATTAGTTTTGTAATTACATGCAACCTGTAACACCCTATCTAGAAACTTGCCATATTTAATATAATATAGGAATATCAACACTATTACCATGGTAATTAAAGAAAACAGGTTGCAGACTTTATTTCAAAATTTTCTTACTTATTATGTCATAACCAT